TATTTATAAAAATTTTTTTTCAAAACACGATCATGATATTGTGTCCATGTTCATAGATATTATTGAGTGTGTCATTTTTTTGTTTTGCTTTGCTTTTATTAATAAGGCTTCTATTATTTTAAGACATTTTTTTTTAAATAGAGGTGATGCTATTATAGTTATGTTGTCAACAATTATGTTCCGAATAGTGTCCGGTAGGTCTCTATGAATAAGTAAATGAGATCTACTTGAGCTATGGCCAGAAAGGTGTCGAAAGATGTAGAAAGATCGCATGAGAAATTGGATAAAAAACAAATCAAAGTACCTTGTCTGTCGTATTCAAAGAAATGTCCATATATATATATATATATATATATATATATATATATATAGATAGATAGATAGATAGATACATAGATAGATAGATATGAAGAGAGTGAGACAGATATCAACAGATTGAGATAGATAGATAGATAGATAGATAGATAGATAGATAGATACATAGATAGATAGATACCAACAGATTGAGAGCGATAAATAGATAGATATGCAGAGATGGTGATAGATAGATAGATAGATAGATAGATAGATAGATAGATAGATATGAACAGACTGAGATAGGTAAATATCAACAGATTGAGATAGATAGATAGATAGATAGATAGATAGATAGATAGATAGATAGATAGATATGAACAGACTGAGCTAGGTAGATATCAACAGATTGAGATCAATAAATAGATAGATATGCAGAGATGGTGATAGATAAGGGTAACACACCTGCTTATTTAATATGTAGACCAGATCCTTTGCTTTTGTGGATGACCGTCGGGTACGTACACGGAATAAATCAGTTTCGTAAGGACGATGTGTGTGTGATTAGAACTTAATTCTTTTCGATATACCCGTTCAGTTCTACAGTATTTTCTTCCTGTGTTCATTATCAACATTAAGTTTATCATCAAATATATTTCTAAGGATTTATTTCAGATTTCATTTTTTTTCTTGTTAGTTCTTGTACAAAATGTTTCTATTTGGATATTTTGCATTTTCCTTGTTGCATTTCGAATTTTCTCCAACGATCAGAAACAAATATTTTACACCTCCATGTTTTTTTTATTTGCATTTCTGCCACTGTATCTCAGCCGAGGAATCACAAGAGGAATGCATTGTCTCTGAATATGAAGTTGGAAATTACAGACGGTCATAAGTAGAGGTATCTCTCTTTTGCATCGTCACCGATTTATCCGGATGTGCCGCTGGTGTATTAGACAGCGGTTTGCATTGAGAAATCAGAGAGCAGAGTTCGTATTCCAGTCGAGCTCGCTGTATTGTACTTACGTTTGGGATAGACGTGAATTCACCTCTTCTCTCCAGCTATAGGTTAAATAGTAGGAGTTGTATCGAATAAATAAAGCACTGTCATCGTCCCCTAAATTATCAATGAAATATACACTTGCGAAAAATAGTTCTTCTTACAATCGAAAGCCTATATTTCGGCTTATCCCGTATTTTTTAAAAAGGTTTTTTCACCCCAAACAAGGAAATAAAGCACCTAAGACGGAATGGGTAACCGAGCAATAGAGAAACACTATTAAGCAAAGAGGATAAAAAAAACAGGAATTTAGAAGACAGAAGATATTGATTGATCTTGCAATCGGTTGATAACCCGTTAAATAAATCAATTAATGCTTTTATCTGTGATAAAATTTCTCAGCATTAAATAGCACGTCTGATATTAAATAATATTTCTGCTTTCGTTTCTTTCTTTTTCTTTCTTTCCTTTTTTTCTTTTTTTTTTTTTTTTTTTTTGACGAAAATTTCCAGTTATTTAATACGTTGTTTAGCTTTGGGAAGGCATCTTTCCATCTTTAGATTCCAGTGTCACAAATCAGATCTCAGATTATTTGTTTCTATTTTGCACTTGCTTCTTTCTAACATCTCCAATTCGCAGATTTCATCTTTGTCGATCCCTTTTGTTAGCAACTATACACTCTCTCCTCATAGATTTAATCGTCTGTTCGTTTTTCAAGCTTCCCATTGCTAATTTGTCTAGAAGTTCCCGCAGCTTACTTCTGTGTCTGCCCTCAATACGGTGTCACCTTCATACCTTAAGCTGTTAATAATATACCACCCAATAATTAATACTGGTTGTACTTGAAGGATCGACTTGCTGTAAATGTTAGACAAATCTGGTGAGAAGATGTACCCTTGTCTTACGCCCCTTTCCAGTTTTATTTTCCCCCCGTTTGTAGGTTGTTTGTTCCCAGTAAATATTTTGTATTCTTGCAATATCCTCCCCAAATCAAGTTTGTCTATATCTATATACAGCAACACACACATAGCTGTGGTTTGCCAACCGCCTATAAATAAAATTGTAGTTGACTCAATCAAGCAAACCTTCGGGATCAAAACTTCTAGACTAAAACTACTTTGCAAAATATTCAGTCGTATAAAAGTACAATAATGATAAGTTCAAATTGGAAGCGGATCTAAAATTGAACTACAATCTGTTGTTAAATGGGGCAAGGTGTGACTTGTTAAATTTAACACCCCAAAAAGAAAAAGTGCACTCTTTTAATAATCTGAGGGTATCCTTTTTACTTTAAACCAACATGACAGATGCTAACCCACAGGAAAGTGACTCATTTTAACTTGTCGGTTTAAGGTTTTCAGCTGACATGAAGTGGAAAATATAATCAACCAATTGCTTAGTCTGTAGCTAAGAAGGCAGATGCAGTCATCCTAACAGATTTTTTCTATCGCACTTCTCGATTGTGGAACTCTCTACTGGGTTCAGCCTACAGGGTCAATTTGATCTTCAGAAATTTAAATGCAATGTCAACCGGTAGCTTCTGTCTTCTTAATTACTGTTCTTTTCTTGTTCTCTCTCCTTAATAGTATATTTCTCATATTTTTAACATTAAATTCACCTCTTGCATCTTAGTGGCTTTATTGCCTTGCGTAACAAAAAAATGAAGCTTCGGCTGGAGTATCGATGGGGGAAAAGTAAGAATATAAAAGGATAAACATTAACTGGGAAAACTATATTATGAGAAGGATGTTGGTCTATAGACGTTGAGCTCGACATTGAAACGAAGGAGATAAAATATAACTGAAATAGGTAGAGAGGACATAGAAAAGAACGAGACGATGTCAGAAAGATAAAAGAGAAGAGCTCGACTTAATCAATAAGAATGGAGACACAACCAGAAAAAAAGAAGAAGAAGGAAACAAAGGGGAAGAAGGGAGGAGGGGGAATGCGAAACGCAACTGAAATCGCGCCCAATGCTTGTACAACATGGCGTCATCAGGAGTCATTTCAGAGCGAATTCCCGTTTTAATCAAATTGCTGCTTGCATTCCATAGAATTCAATGGATGTCGCGTTTCCGCATTTACTTTCGTCTTGAGCAGCGATCAGTTTAATTACTCCATCGCCTATTAAAAACATTTTATCCATCACTTAAAATGAATGCTTACGCGATTTTTTTTTTTTTTTTTCCTTTTTTGTTAGTCAAGTATTTATTTCATCACCATCCAATTGCTTTCATTCACATTTTCGTTTCTTGCGTCTGTTTGGAGACAAAAATAATAATAAGGTCAGGTGTTAGCAGAAGCAGGGTGGGGTTTGCTTTTGTTCGCTAAGCGTAAATTAGTTTGGCACGGGGCCAAAATTATGGGGCATCAAACACGATTCTGTGCAATCTTCAACCATACTAGCTCGATCGTAAGCATTTTCTTGTTGCTTAGTAAGTTTATCTTAGTTTGGTAAAAGGCCAAATGCACGGAGCATTTAGTAAGAATCAAACACGAGTCCATTCAACTGGACTAGATCGATCATAAACACTTTCATGTAAGCTTAGTCTAGTTTGGTAAAAGCCCGCTGTATCGGAAGTCATACACGACTCCATGAACAACTGTTCAAGAACAATCAACCCCCCATGTTTCCTACGTATATTTTACCTCTCAGAAAGGAGAAAATGTCCAAACATATGTTACAGAAGATTTTCCCTACAAAAAGAGAATCCTGGTAAAGTACCAAAGGTTTATAGTGGGTTGAACATCACGTTAATGTAATTAAAATTAAAAGTCATTTATGCCCAGGCAGGGGAAAATACACCACAATATTTTATCAATACTTTTTATCTAACTTGAAGCGAGATAAACAAAAATATATTTGTTTTCTTATATTTCTTAGATGAGTTATTATGTACACTATTTACATTATTCGGACTCAGCTTTGTCGCCATATTTATTTCAACGTTTCGGCCGTTGTACGCTTCAGTCTTCTTCGGGTGTTTGGAATGTCGAACTGAAACCTTTATTTCGCTCACTGGGGTAGACAGTTCTAGTTACACGTGCCATGTTTAATGGATATCAGTTGTCAGTTATCTCCTGTTAATTCCCATCTGAAAGTTCTCCACTGCCTTCACCGGGTATTGAACTCGCACTCTTTGGGAACCAGTAATAAGAAGTTCCATAGAAAAGCCATAATAACAACAAAAATTGCAATATGAGCTCTGGTAAAAACATAGATTGATAACCGCAAAAATTGCATGATGAACACTGGTAAAAAATGGTGCTGATGGTATTAGGTTTATAATACCCCTGAATTCATACAGAGATGTCCTCAAAGACACATGGTACAGTGAAGAAAAGCCTTAGTTACATCCAGTATGAAAGTTGTTACCATTACTAAAGGCCTGAATCATCTTTTTCCTCTCACTATTGCTCAGTTGCGAAGGCATAGTGGGCTGACACAAAACGAGTTTAAATTGTTCTCTTTCTAGATGAATAATTTTCAGTGATTCTTATGACAATTGATGTCAAGATGGCTAAACGTCTTATCTGAAAACATGGCAAAACGAAACTCAATTAGTTTAGTTTTTCTGTTTTTGTCGATATTAAACATTTTGTAGGATGTACAAATATGGTGTTACACGATTTGGATAAGTCTGCTGTTACACCCAGTATATATATATATATATATATATATATATATATATATATATATATATATATATACAAATTACAAACTGATACCATGAGCAGTTTGAAAATACTGCGAATTATAAAATTAAAATTCGTAGGTGAAGCTTGTCTTTTACAAAAGGTATATTAATTCCAATTGTAAAGAAAATTTGCTTTCTTTAATGAAAATAAACATGGAGAGCTCTTTTGTGAGTCAGTTTAAACATATTTCAATTTTTTGTTGTGTTAATAGGTCTCGACTGGATTATACCAACGGATTACTATATATATATATATATATATATATATATATATATATATATTTATGAAGAAAATATAGTGAAAAAACAAACAAAAATCCTAATATGCGATTATGCTGTTTTAATGTTTAATGTCAACGTCGGACGTTTCGGTCTAATAGACCATCTTCAGGACATATTCATGAAACATAATTAACATAGACCATTAAAACAGCATAATCGCATATTAGATTTTTGTTTGTTTTTTCAGTATATTTTCTTCATACTGTCGGATCTATATCCATATATTGCTTACATACATATATATATATATATATATATATATATATATATATATATATATATATATATACATCGCAAGATTTCCTGCTCTTGCCCGCTATTCTTTAAATTACTCAGTAACGTTAAACAGACGCTGGACAACAAAGGCTTCCTCAACCAATTTATAGATAATTGAATTAAATTATCAAATAAGCAATAGAAAGACGGAACATAAAGACAAAAGCCAATAATATTAACATTTTCTTTAAAAATCAAATACACATTAATTATAAGTAGGAAGAATTTACCTTATACTATTTTCAATATATATATATAGATACATAGATAGATAGATAGATAGATAGATAGATATCGCGTGGTCATGTGGGATGTCATGGGCGGCGGTGCGACTTTCGCTCCCAGCTGTTTGTATGCAGGAATTTGTTGTTGCTTGGAAATTTTCATTGTTGCTATGTTCTTGTATTGTTTCATTTATGGTAATTTACTTGTCATCTCAGTGATTCTTATGACAAATGATGTCAAGATGGCTTATGTAAGCCGAAATCTTAGATAGGATTAAAAAATTTATCAATATGGTGATTTTCTTCCGTCTTTCAATATTAGACGATATAAAAGTAATTTGCTGAAAATTTGCTTGTCTATATTATTTAATGAAACATGCATATATATATATATATATATATATATATATATATATATATATATATGCATCTGCTTATTAAGGAGACTTGCTTTGAGGCAAGAAACAGAGTTCGATTATAACTGCTAGATATACTGATGACATGGTGTTGATAGCAGACACAGGAAGAAAAATTAATTTAATTTTATATACATCAACTGGTTATTATATTTTATAAAATTTGTGTATATATATATATATATATATATATATATATATATATATTAAATCATTTATATGTTTATACATTCTTTTTATAGAAACAATATTTAAGTAAATGCTCTGTCAGATTGTTTACATAAACATTTGTATCTATAAAAAACAATGTATAAACATAAAATGTCATAAAATAATCGTCGAAATTTTTCCATTTCATAATATATATATATATATATATATATATATATATATATATATGTATGTATGTATGTATATATATATGTATATATGTATATATGTATGCATGCATGTTATATATATATATACATATATATATATATATATATATATATATATATATATATATATATATGGGCATTTCATTGAATACAACAGACAAGGTGATTTTATTTATTTTTTCATACAATTTCTCATGAGATCTAATTTTTTTTTTACTTTTCAGATGATAAATTATATAAAAACTGTCCAATTGTTCTTTTTATTCGTGCGCTTTCGGCTATACATTTAGCCATTTAAATATTTCAACTGTTAAATAAGAAATAGTTTGTTGCATGTATGTATTTATATAGTGTTTTCAATTATCAAAACTCGGTCAAGATATAGTGTCAATGTACATAGTTAATATTATTAAGTGTTGGATTTTTGCTTTTATTAATATGGCTTCCATTATTTTTAGCCTTTTTTTTGCATGTAGATGATACTATTATATTGTCAATATGTTACGAATTGTGTCCGGTAGGTCTCCATGAATATTTAAATGAGATCTAATTGAGCTGTGGTCAGAACTTGTTAACAACACAAATACTTATACTTGACATTAAGAAGAGATGGTTGAAATTTCTGGGGTAAATAATGATAAAGGAGGGCTTGGAAAATTTGACACTCACAAGACAAATTGAAAATATATGCTCTAAAAGAAAACAACGCATAGTTTAACTAGCACAGCTGAGCAAATCGATGGCAAAACAATATTTAGGAAAGGTAAAAATTTATTAAGAGCTACAAAGGACAAGAAATTGTAAAGAGACATGCTCACCAACGGAACACGAAGGGACACGCCACATAAAGAAAAAAGTAACAGCTTAGTATTTCATTATTGTCTAAATGTTCTATCGTAGTATCCTCAACATCTATAGGTAGAATCAAAACCTGTGATACTATCATCATTCATCTGTAGAATACTATAGCCGTTGTCTCAAGTCTCCTCTTCATCTGTTAGAAAAATGTTTACCATTTACTGCCTTATTGGAGATAATCTATTACACGTAAAATGTTTTAGATCATTCATTTCATACACCTTAAAATGAGATATCTTTGTATTATTTTTAGAGTAAAAGATAAAATTTCTGTAGCTACTTCAATTGCTTTTAAATGTGCCTCCAGGTTCGTCTTAGTAACAAAAAGTTCAAAATTTGATTAGTCTTTCTACAATATATTTTGCTTAATTCAGGATATTTTGTATGAAAAAAATTTACAGTTTGTTTTCGCCATTAATCCTAGAATGCTGTATATTTGATAAAAGACAAGGTAATATATATATATATATATATATATATATATATATATATATATATATATATATGCATGTTTCATTAAAAAAAACGACAGACAAGGTACTACAGTTGAGCTTTTTATTTAATTTTTCTTGTGTTCTGACAAGAGCTTTTCTTTTCTGGACAAAAGTGTGTAAGAACTGTCCGAATGTTCTGTGTTTCCTGAGCGCTTTCGGCTATACCTTTAGCCATTATCAAGGATGGTTCAATTATCAGCTTAGTAGAGTGTGTTCTATGTATGTTCAGTGTGTGGTAGTGATGTTTTAGTTTCCGAATACGGTTAGCACATTGTGGCTTTTGTTCATAGTTGATATTGTTAAGAGTTGGCTTTTTCTTTTTTATTATTAGAGCTTCCATTATTTTTAGTCTTTTTTTGCAAGTGGATGCAGTTAATATATTAGTGTTTTCTACTAGTATGTTCCTAATAGTGTCGGGTAAATCTGAAAACATGAAAATATGAAACATGCATAAAGGAAGGATTGCTGCCTAAATATACAAATATATATATATATATATATATATATATATATATATATATATATATATATATATATAAAGTAAGAACAGTAAGATATAAAATCCGGTGTTCTTATAGATATTTTTATTTTTACAAAATAGTGCTCAATGTAAATTTACAGAGCATTAATATTATAAATTAATTGATTTAAAATATGTTTTTTTTCGCTACACAGTTCCAACCATGTTTCAAAAATAGAAGCTAAAAACCCTGAATTTAATTTTGCAATTAAATTAAAAGCATTAGTTCCATTTCATCTACAAGCGAATTCCCCCCCCACACGGTCAACATCATCACTTGATAAGACACCGACGGTGTTGAAACAGAATGGCTATTTTTGTTGTGATTTTATAACATATTTATGTTATAATTTTTTTTTTATAAATAATAATTATATCTGCTCTACTTTGAATTGAGCACTCTTTTAAGAATAGTAATTGTTGGTTATTGGAATTCGTTCCGTATATACCAATTATATACTTGTATATATATATATATATATATATATATATATATATATATCTTCTGATTTTGCAGAGACATGCCATACCATCTGATTTACGTATAACTGAAAAAATCAAAAGTGTAAGAACCAAAATACTCTTCTAAATTATATTAAAATTACTCCTAGTCAAAAAGAAGACGCAAAATTTTGGAAATTATTACTTGGCATCTTCCATCTCTTCGTCTCTCTCCCACTGAATTAATTTGGAATGAATTAAATAGGAAAGTTGGAAAAGAATAACGAAAGAGTGAGCGTGATCTTTTCGGTTGCTTAGAGACTGCTTGGGGAGACTTGTTTTTCAAAAAATTGTTGCGGAGAATTCAAAGAATTTGTAAAGCAAAGTTTTTACGAAAACACTATATGGTTCTATTGTAGAAGAATTGTCCTTACTGTTAAGTGCTTGTTATTGTCAAAATACACCCTTGTGCAAATTAATTGAAACAACGGCTTTAGTTTTTTTTTTCACCATACAACCAGTTTTAGACCTACTGGAGTGACAGAGTGTAATCATTTTTTTTCCTAAGATTAGGTAATTTGCAGTGGTTTTTAGAAACATGGATATAATTTCGGGGTGTATGATGAAATTTGCTTGTCCTTGAAAAATATTGCGTCATCCGTGATTGCCTAAGATTTTCATCACGCCAAGACACTATTGTCTCAACTGTCGATTGTCTGTGATGGACGTTACTCCAAGGAAACGTACGAAAATTGTAACGCTGTGCGAACACAATGAAAGAATTACCAATGAGCAAGTCAGAGTACTATCGACTGGCTCGGAAACTCTCCTGATTTAAATCCAATCGAGAATCTTCAATGTTCACTTTTATATTTATAGTTACATACGCCCTATGTTTGATATTGAGCACTTTATCCCATAAATATAGCACACCTTAAAACTATATTTCTTCATACATACATATATATATATATATATATATATATATATATATATATGAAGTCGTCAAAAAACAAACGTTACGACTGTTTAGTTTTTTTTTTTTTTTTTTGTTTTTATATGCACAAATCCCTTTCATAAAAAAATAAAATAAAAAAATAAATAAATCTCCATAGACATGCAAACTAGACGAGGGTTAATACATCTTCCGTTTCAAATTTAGACACCCCCACTTTTCACTGACTTGACGTCTACGAAAGTAACTCTATACTGATACTTATTATTAACACCCAACTTAAACAATTCGCCCTAGCTGTTACCATGGAAATTTTGATTTCAATTTTTAAAACACGTAAATTTCAGAAACACGTTATTCCAAAAAAAATTTCGCTTGAAGATGGAACAGAGCTTATTTTAACTCAATTTAATTTAAATAATTTAAATAATTATATTGAAGTTTTCAGCTCTTGTTTTGAAACATGGACTTCTTATGTCGCGATTTGGAATCATATTTTAAATAAATAATTACATTTATGCTCTACTTTTGTATCGAGCACTATTTTTAAAAATAATAACTAAAATACTAAGGAACTTGGGATTATTTACCTAACCAGTTCCTTCCTATTTTCTATATATTTTCACACACACACACACACATATATATATATATATATATATATATATATATATATATATATATATATATAGATAGATAGATAGATAGATAGATAGCTAGCAAGATAGCAAAAACATTTTCAAGTATATATGGAGCCAAAAACAAAATAATATACCTAATATAATTAAATGGGAAATTATAAAGAAATACCCTCTATAATATTACAAATAGGAACTGTAAATTGTGTTTAGAAGAAAAATGATAAATATTAACTTTTAATAGTCAAATTAAATTATTAAATAAGAAGAATGAAATAATGGGTCGATGTCGACATAGTAACAAATATTTACTTTGTTACTTTAATAATGATACTTTTATTCATAACATAATAATTTAATGAAACTATTAATGAAAAATA